AGTTGCAGGCAAAGCAAATAATTAGTATACATCGATTATCTTGCGCCCGGGCTCAAATGTGTCTGTCCGTATGTATGCTTGTATGTTTGTGTGTGTGTGTGTGTGTGTACCTGACCCGTTGGCTACTGTGCTGCGGATGCGTTTGCTGTCTTCAAACTGGTCCAGCTCCAGATGTTGGCACATCGCGCACACGCGCTGCCGCCTACCGATGCTGCTGCTGCGCCTGCTGCTGCGCCTACGCGCGCGCGCGCCCATCGGCCCACAAAACAAGTTCCCCCGAAGCCAGTCGAGCATTCTGCATTCGCCATGTGTGCAGCCATAAAATGCCGCGCCAGAACTGTACACAGCGGCAGCCCCAGCCCAAGTCACATCCAAGCCCATGGAGCACAAACAACGACGACGGCGACGTGTGCTCAGCTCGTGCCAATTCTTTGACTTTGGGTTTGAGGTTTCAGCTTCACCAGTTGCATGTAAATGTTTGTATGTATGTGTGCGCATGCGTACATGCATACATACATACATACATATGCACCTTTGCAGTTACACAAAGGCCTTAGAAGGCCTTCGGGCTGTAAAAGGTGAAAACGATTTGCATTAAATCAAAGTTGTTTTTAATTAACTAGTTCCATAAATACAAATCGAGCACATATTTAGCTATACGAACATGTACATACATACATATGTATATGTATATATATATACAGTACATGTCTGCATATGTATTTGTATGCAGTTGTCTCTGGCAGAGGCTTAAAAATAATCCTAAGATGACAGGCAATAGAAATTATAAATTTATTGATAGCCGGTATACATAAAATTTGTCATGTACGATTTTTAAGATATTCCGCCTATAATCAATATATATCTTGCTCTAGCAGTAAACTTTTCAGTTTTATAGTCTATAAGTCTAGTTGATATAATGCCTTAACAGACCTTTCTTTTGTATATTCAAATATACACATACTCTCATGTTAAATAATCTCTGCTATTCAAATAAATATACCCTCAAGTTATATAATCTCCTTAATCAGCTTGCGTTAAGCTATTATGTATTTATTTAAATATTTGTTTTGTTAAGTAGGTTTGCTCCAGGTTCAAAGTTTTTATTTTTCATATACGTTGAGCGTGCATTTAAAATAAAAAATATTCTTGTGAAATTTTAGAAGCTGTCTGCTGTGAAGTTTTGAGTCTCTTGGCAGTTACAATAGGTAAAACTGTGATGACTGACTGATTGATTGACTGACGAACTGTCTGATTGGTGATCAATACACAGTACAGTACTTATCTTGTTTGATATATTATTCCACCCACAAATGTGGAAATTATTATTGGTTGTCGAAAAACTATTGTATGAAACTTCTGTGTTCTTCAGTCTTCACAAATATACAAAACCAATAACTAATGGGTCAAAACTAGGCATCTAAGATTTTATTCTTATTATATTTTCATTATTATTATTATTATTATTATTATTTTTATTATTATTATTATTATTATTATTATTATTATTATTATTATTATTATTTTTATTATTATTATTATTATTATTATTATTATTATTATTATTATTATTATTATTATTATTATTATTATTATTATTATTATTATTATTATTATTATTATCATTATCATTATTATTATTATAATTATTATTACTATTATTTTTACTATAATTATTATTATTATAATTATTCTTATTGTTATTATTATTGTTATCATTATCATTATCATTATCATTATCAGTATCATTAACATTATCATTAACATTATCATTATCATTATCATTATCATTATCATTATCATTATCATTATCATTATCATTATCATTATCATTATCATTATCATTATCATTAACATTATTATTATCATATTTATTATTTTTATAATTATTTTTATCATTATCATTATCATTGTCATTATCATTATCATTATCATTACCATTATCATTACCATTATCATTAACATTATCATTATCATTATCATTATCATATTTATTATTTTTATTATTATTTTTATCATCTCATCATTATCATTATCATTATCATTATCATTATCATTATCATTATCATTATTATTATTCTTATTATTCTTATTATTATTATTTTTACTATAATTATTATTATTATTATTAGCATACATATTTTTAAATTATATTTATATATATTTTAATATTTTTCTTGTTAAAATAGAAATGTTACTTCTAAATATTAAATTTGGGTTTTAGTAATTTTTCACAAAAACCACTTTTTATGTTGGTAATAAATGGTAATTATATAAAAAATAACTCAATTCTGAATTGTTTAACAACAGTTGTTAATTAAGAAATCAAGTTGAACAAACTGAATACTCAAATCTATTTACATATGCAGCATGTGTCTATTCATTATATACGTGCATATATTTGCCTAATGTGTATTAATGCTGTCTGCATTGACATTAGTTAAATATGTAATTTAAATGTTGTAGCAATTCGCGTGTTATTGTGTTCATAATTGAGGCCGGGATGTGTGATAGCTTCTGTGGCTTTTGGGGAAATGTTACATTAAAGTAATTTTATTTGAACAATAAGATGTTCATGTGCAAAACGTGTTGAACCTTCCGTTTCTTTCGGCCGCTAATGGCTAATGAGTTATCATCGGATGTTGTGTTCGCCTCGGGGCCTGCAGCCTCGACAGGCAATATTTTGGATCTTTCTCTCACTTCTGCCAGCTGCCGGCTACCGTCTACCTTCTCGTGGCTAGCGGCTACTGTTCCTCCATATAGATGTGTATATACATAATCTTGATTGACTTAGGGCTTTTCGGTTCTTAATGATGATATTTTCATCATCCGTTCGTTTTATCGGCAATATTCTTGACGCTCTTGTTGCTGCCGTTCTTCGCCAAGTAGCTGTACATTTGGATTTACCAGGTGTGAGGAGTTACCTGCACTTGAGCTACAACTTGAACATGAGGCCGTGGGCTTTTGTCTAGTGAAATGTTGAAAGCATCATTAATTTTTTTATAGTATCTTTCGCCTTATAGCCCAAACTTTAATATACTTACCTGCACACGTGTGTGTGTATGATAATTGCAGGCGGAAAGAAAAGAGAGAGAGAGAGAGAGGGAGAGAGGGAGAGAGAGCAGCACATAGTACATAAGAAGTGACCCATAATTACCGGCAACCGGGTCCCAGTCGCGGCCAACAGAACAATCATGGGAAAACTGACTGTAACCCGGTCTCTGCGTTCTGTTTGTTGCCTTCTTATAAAAGTACAATAATTTGAGCAATGCCAATGCTACGTTTTCTGATTATCTTCCCCGTTTACACGGCACGCATAAACACAAAAAGCACGCAGCTGGAGTCGCAACGGGCCCCCAAATACTGATCCCAATCCCCATCCCCATCCCCATCCCAGTTCCGAGTCCCGGCTCCCCACTCTCAGTCTCAGGCCGGAGGCATCGTCACAGTTCTCCTTCTGTCAATGCCGAGATAATGTTCGTCACCAGCCAACAATTTGATTTCTATACCCTTACATCAGAAAGAGTTTATTACCAGATTTCATTCTCCATGTGACACATTTCCGATCAAATTAGATATATACCTATAAGTATATTCATAATCTGTCTGCAATTATTTTCCCAGTTGGCAGCTTGAGAGCAGAGATGAGTACAGATAACCATAATTTCCCATCCGATCGGTTTCTAATTCATTTTCAAAGATCTCTATGAAAATTTCATTTCAAACGTATTTCACACGTTTCGCAAAATCCACCCATTTTGGATGATAAATGTGGCTTAAAGTTTATTTATCGGTTTTAAGATTTCAACCTTGAGTTCCTAATTCGAAAAACTTCAAGCTCATTTTCAAATGTCTATGTAATATATAACTTTAAACCTGAATTTGTCTATAATATGGTTAGATTTTAACATTCCATGTTTAGCCGTGATTTCTAAGAATTGAAGTAAAAAACTTGGAACAGACAAGACCGGAAATTACGAGCTAGTATAACTGATTGTATTCTGATTCTACTACTTTATAATCTTAATAGGATATCTTTATTTTTTTGTTATTTTAATATGCTTTAAGCATGTTTTATTTTACGCTGAAATCGATCAATGCCTTCTGATCTCTACCAAGCGATTGAATAAGGCAAAAAGGTATAATAGAATATCTATATATGAATTTAATATTTTAATATTTAATACAAATTTAGAATATTAATGGGATATGAAATATTAATGGGATATATATATATGAATTTTATATGAATTTTATGCCATATCTTAAATGTTTTAAAATTTAAGTCTTAAAATTTCCGTGTTTTTCTTTTATAATTACAAATATCGAACAATAAATAGATAATATATTATCCAGACTTGATCACAATATCTTTTATATAGCATAGAATAATTACATATAAGAATTTGCATCGTAAAATAATTTCAGCTCACAAAATTGCACTTAATGTAATTGACTAAATAATTATCATATGCAAAAGGTATTTCCGGTTAGATAAACCTATTTGATGTAGGTGCAGCAAGGTCTGCAAGGTCTGCAAGGGCATTCAATCTTCGGCTCCGCAGAGTGATCGGTATTTTTTATTCTGCTTTGCTTTTTGATTATCGCCAACGCTGACGCAGCCCTTTTCGAGAGCTGGAACAAGTGCAGCGAACAAGTGCACCTATATCTGTGCGCTTACCTTTACCTTTACCTTTGCGTTTACCTTTGCGTTCACCTGGGCTACCTATGCTAATTAGAGCGACGGCCTCGGCCTTGTTTTTATGCGCGTTTTAGCGTGAACTGTCCAGCCGGCCGGTGCGGTAGCTGCATAAATTTTCTGCTCCAAGGCAAAAAGAGCATACCGAATGCCGCAATACTAATTTATGCGCCAACTTTCATGGGAAAAGTGAGACAGAAAAACGTTAAGCGCAAATTTGAGCTGTTGTCCTGACAACGGATTTTCATATGCGACCGCAGGACAGGTGTGTACCTTACCCTAACATCAATCGGCGGGGTTGTTAATAAGTGCGCCCGCAGCGTGACGAGCGCCTAAAGATTTTCCCACTGCACGCTGTACTGCAGTATGTAGGTGAGATAGGTGACCAGGCCGGACAGAAAGACCAAGATCAGCTCGTTGGATACCTCAAACATGCCCAAAGGACGCACGCGAAATTCATTGTAGTTCAAACGGTTCAAGAACATTTCCAGCTGCGAGCGAGGGAACAGTTGAAGAACAGGTAAATAGACAGGAAGTATTCTCACCTTCATGTGCCAATCCTTGTGCTCGCTAACGTAATAGTTCTCCAGGCTGAGCCGGCGAATCACTCGGGAGCTGCTGCTTGCGCCGTGCACGACGAGGGTCAGCAGCAAAATGTCGAGCAACATCTTGACCTCCATGAACCACAGGCTAATGCCATCGAATAGGTCCATAATGATGAGGAAGGCAGCCAGCGCCATGCTGACAAAGCCAAACATTAAAATGATGCAGAGCGGAAACTCGATGAGCTGGTGGAAAGCGCGGCCCACCTGATGCAGCTCATCGTAGATGGCCAGGCACTCGTCCAGGCGATGCCCAGCCGCCTCCAGCTGCCGCCGGCTGACGGCGACGCCGAGTTCGCCGAGCTGTTGGCGCAGCTCGTGCCGCACATAGCTATTGAGACGATCGTAGATGATGCCCAGACTGAGGTAGCCCACGAAGCAGATGTGCAGAATCATGGCCGCATTCACCGTATTGTATAGATCACAAATTGTGGTCAGCACAAAATAGGCATCGAGTTCCTCGAGCATTTGTGGAATCATGTAGCAGAGCTCGTGCAGCAGACAGATCACCTTGCAGATCAGCAGGCACAGCGCCCACCTGCCGCCGTAGCCCACATCCTGGCAGCCGGGCAGCGCCTCGACGCGCTGATAGAGCCTCAGAAAGCTGTTGACCACACGAAGCACCCGCTCTCCATGCCAGAACTGCAGCAGCAGGGTGACCGCAGCGCAGACCATGCAGATGAGCGTGCGAAAGACGAAGATTAGCTTCAAATGCGAGAATTTCAGCACAAAGATGAAGCCATTGTACAGGACGAAATAGAGGCCACACATGAGTATGCGGGTCAGCAGGCAGAACCATTTGTACCACAGCCAATCCTTGGCCACCAGACGCCCTTCGCGGCGATTCCACTGCACGCCAAAACAGATGATGCCCATAAATGTGGCGTACCTCAAACCGACGCGCAAGATTCTCGCGGAGATCCAAGAGGCGCTCAGACGGCGACGACTCCCAATCATGACCAGGCCAGCAATGTGCAGCCAAACGGGCTGGCAATACTTATAAGTATTAGCCCCATTCTGATTAATATCAATTGGGGACCAATAAGCTAATTGGAACCAATGAGAACTGGGATATTACCCAAGATTCTAGACAACATTTGTTGATATTCAAAGAAATATAAGCCATTATTTTTATCACACTTACAAGTTTATTTGTCAAGTAGCTCGATAAAAATCAAAAAAGCAATTTATATATATATATTATTTCTAATGACATTAGCCTATTAACATGAAGGTAATGTGCCTGGCAATAAACGAGCCAGAAAGAAATGGATGTAGATAAGTTTTAAACATCGGGTCCTTTAAGTAATCCCTGGGTCTGGTCAAACCATTGCAGTGCTCCACGACAACTCTTGGTGTCCAGTTCAAAGTTTAAATATCAATTTTCAAATCTGATTCGTTTGCATGCCATACTGCAATATATAGGTGAGATAGGTGACCAGGCCGGAAAGAAAGACCAATATCAGCTCGTTGGATATCTCAAATAGTCCGAATGGACGTACTCGAAACTCGTAAAAATTCAAGCGACTCAAGAACATCTCCAGCTGCAATGAATGAAGTAGAATATTTCACAGAATTTTCAAGTAAAATATCTTTAATCAAAGGTGTTCTACTAGCTGCTAATCCAATTTCACAGGTGAGTACCAGGTTTTCTTTTTGTTAACATATTCAAAAATCCCAATAAAAATGAAGACTTGGTTTCTTTATTAATTTTCTTTTAAGGAAATTGTCTCAGCTCAATCTTAATTGCACTCAAAATTAAAAACTTTTTCTGTTTTAGTTTGAATAAAATACCCTCAAATTCAAATTCAAACCTACTCATCTCGCGGTTCGAATCCCAAACCCTTACCCAAGTGCAAAATATAAAAGAATTGTTATTAATAAAACAACCAAAACAAGAAAATAACTTAAATTAAAATAATAATAATTTAAAATAATTAAAACTTAAATTGGTTACTTCGTTCCCATTTTCTTTTGTTTATTGTTTCTTAGTTTATTAATAATTTCAAATTAAATAACAAATAAAACAACCAAAATGATTTGAACTAAAACAATAATAATTTACATTAATTAAAATTAAAATTGTTAACTCCATTCTTTTTTTTTTCTTATTATTTTTTTTTTTAGGCTGTTTGCCATTTTTCAATAATTTCAAATCAAATAAGCAAATAGCCAAAAAAAATAATCAACTGCTTGGAGTTGAGCCAGCGACTTCTCGCTTGTTGTTCCGACGCTTAGGCACGCACAATTTCTTGATGTTTTTTTCATTTGGGTCACAGTTTTCCCCCCATTTGTGGGTCTCATTAGCCCAAAACCAATGAGCAACAATAATGAAATGAATAATATTTATTACTCATTGACCCAAAACCAAGCTTGAGTACGAATCAGAGCTTTCAAGTTCTTACGGCTCAGTCATATATATAATTATATAATAAGTTTTTAAGTGTGGAGGGAGGAGTTTTCCTTTTTTTTGGAACTTACCTTCATGTCCCAATCGTTGCGTTCACTCACGTAGCAATTCTCCAGGCTGAGCCTGCGAATCACTCGCGAGCTGCTGCAGGCTCCATGAATGGCCAACGTTAGGAGGACCACGTCGATGAAGAGCCGGACGACAAGGAGCCAGAGGGTGACATCACGGAATCGGTTCAACATGATGAAATAGGAGACGAGGGTCATGCTCAGGAAGGCGAAGAGCAGAATGAGGCACAGCGGCAGCTCCATGAGCCGATGAAAGGCGATGCCCACCCTCTGAATCTCATCGTAGATGCCCAGACACTCGTCCAGCCGGTAGCCGGCGGCCTTCAGCTGCCGCCGACTGGGCTGTTGGCCGTTGTGCTGCTCCAGGCCGCGCAGCTGGCGGCGCAGCTCCTGGCGCACATAACGATTGACGCGGGCGTAGAGGGCGCCCACGCTGAGGTAGCCCACGAAGCACATGTGCCCGATCATGGTGGCATTCACGCTGATGTATGTATCGACGAGCAGGGTCAAGAAGTGACGCCCATTTAGATCGGTAAAGAACGTGGGAAGTTCGCAGACCAGCTCGTTCAGCAGGCACATCAGCTTGAAGATCAGCAGACTGAGCTCGCGCTTGCCGCCGAAGCCCTGATCCTGGCAGCCGGGCAGCGCGTTGACCTTCCGGAACAGCCTCAAATAGCTGTTGACCACACAGATCACCTGTTGGCCAAACCAGAACTGCATCAGCAGAATGACGCAGGCGCAGATCAGGCAGCCGATCAGCCGAATCCACGAGAGTATCACCAAATGCGGATTGTCCAAGCTGTTGATGAACTCGAGGCTAATGCGGACATAAATGCCACAGATGAGGATACGCGACAGCAGACAGAACCACTTGTACCAGTAGCGATTCCGGGCAACCATCAGGCAGCCATCCGTTCGATTGCCCTCAATGCCAAAACAGACGAATCCCAGCGTCTGGGCATAGCGGAAGGCGACGCTCAAGATGCGCGCGGAGAGCGAGGAGACGCTCACCTGGCTGCCGACCATGACTAAGCGCGCAAATTAACGGAATGTTGCGGAGGCAGCATTGCCTGGCACTATTTATAAGCACACACACACACAGGTACACACAGGTGTATTAACTGATTGCTTGGTCAAGGTCAGGGCTGCCCGCTCCCATTGATACCCATCTCGAGGGTTCATTAGGCTAATGGCTTACCTGGCACAATATTTTGATAAGCGAAATAAGTTTAATAGGGGTTGCAACACGAGCTTTGATGACAATTGATTATAGAAACAATATTTGCAATGACTATTTATTGATATACGACAAATCAGATTGGGAAAACGTATATTTATTTCGGGCAATGTTGAACTGATCTTTATTTTAAGGCCACGCTGAGCAGACTCTATAAGTATTTGTATATTACTACAAGTTGCATGTAATTGGGACGAATTGAAATAGTATATATATATCCCCTATCTTCTGCATATGCAGGACAATATCTGCTGTTCAGTTCCTGTCGTACATACTATATGTCACACCTGTCACATTGCAGACGGATGCAAATGTCCTCGGATCCATTCTGTACATACATACTTGCAGACGTCGCTGTGCGCCTGGTAATTGAGCCAAAGCTTGTAGAACTCAATCAAAAATTTGTTTAATAGATTAAGTATTTGCTAAACTATGACGATGACTAAGCACTGCAAACTATATCAACCTGGGCATACCTCACGAAAACCGATTATGATGATGAAGAAGATGATGATTATGATGATGATATAGACCTAAGGCCTCCCATGCAAGAAAATTCTTGCAAGATAATATCTATAGTTATATTTACATATTTCCCAAACTAGAGTATTTATCTAAGCATATTTTGTATGCATATAAAAATGTGTAATACTTTACGGTAAAAAAGACAATTGTAAATTAAAAATGTAAATGTTTAATTAAAATAAAAAAAAATAAGGAAAAGGCAAAACTTAAACCTGGCTATTGAAAGTGTAAATTGACAAGTCGAACCCAAAGAGAGAGGTTCTTTTTTAGATGATGTACACCTGACTTGATCTGTCTGGCTTGTACATAGTTGTACATCATTTGAATTGTTTAACTAAAATTTAAGAAATAAGAACAAGTCCACCTGGCTAAATGGAATTGTAAATTGACAAGCCGAACCCAAGGAGAGAGGTTAGTTTTTTTAGATGAGGTTTTTCTTTAGATGATGTACACCGGACCTGATCTGTCAGCCTTGTACATAGTTGTACATCATTTGAATTGTTTAACTAAAATTTAAAAAATAACATAAAGTCAAGACTTTTACCTGACTGAAGTGTAAATTGACAAGTCGAACCCAAAGAGAGAGGTTAATTTTTTTAGATGATGTACACCTGACTTGATCTGTCAACCTTGTACATAGTTGTACATCATTTGAAGTGATTAATTAAAATTTAAAAAATAACAGAAAGTCAAGACTTTTACCTGGCTAATGTGTAAATTGGCAAGCCGAACCCAAAGAGAGAGGTTTCTTTTGGATGATGTACACCTGACTTGATCTGTCTGTCTTGTGCATAGTTGTACATCATTTGAAGTGATTAATTAAAATTTAAAAAATAACAGAAAGTCAAGACCTTTACCTGACTGAAGTGTAAATTGACAAGCCGAACCCAAAGAGAGAGGTTTCTTTTGGATGATGTACACCTTACTTGATCTGTCTGTCTTGTGCATAGTTGTACATCATCCATTGTATTTTCGATTCACACGCTCACGATCCTGTCTGTTGTTGTTGTTATTGTTGCCGCTGCGATCCGTTGTTGGCCTCACGCTCTAAGCTCCCCCATGTAAATGACGCCCCCATTTCATGCGGTACATGTACGTGATCTTCTGGCATATCTCTTATGCTACATCTTCTCTCCTACACCTGAATATTCTGTGTGTGTGCCTGGGTTTGTGTGTGTGTGTGTGTGTGCACGATTACAGCGCTCAGCGATTTGCGTCCAGATCTGTGAAGATCTTTCGAGCTGCTGACTTCAGACAGCGCCCCTGCCTTCGAGTGCCATTTGAAAAGAATTTTCTCGTTGTTGTTGTTGGCTTTTTTTATTGTTACTTTTTTTAAGTTTTTTTTTTTTAGTTTTTTTTTAGGTAATTACAGTAACAATGCGAGGCCAGGGGACAACGAACGAGGCACGTACATTTTCCAGCATTGTACGAAAATTGTGGGAACAATCAACGAAATGAACACTGAAAACCCAAAGTGCTTTGCATGCCGTGTTGCTGTTGATTTGCCGCAAATTGGCTCGGCTCAGTTTTAAAATTGCGAAAGCCAGGCCCAGGCCCAGACCAGACCAGACCAAAGGAAATCATGCGAAGCGGCTGGCCACAACTTGGTCAGCAGATTAGAGCAAACCAAGGGCTGCCAGGCCTGCCAATTGCTCAGCGTGACCTCACGTCCAATCGCAGCACCAGACACGCAGCTTCAAGAAGAGAGAGCTGGAGCGAGAGAGAGAGAGCGAGACGGAGCTGCTTATGGCTAGGTGAATGGGTGGGGTTACAAAAGCAGGCAATTTGCTGCAGGGTTGATTGATTTCCATTGTGTCCAGGAGTCTGCGTCTGTTGCGTGCGAGTGACTCACGGCCTTGGCTCGCTTTTCACGCTTTTCCAGGCATTGCACTCTCTGAACGATCTCTGACATTAATGATGATTAATGAAAAACGCAGTGCTATTAAATTCCGTCCCCTTTCCCCCCATTTGCTATAATTTATTGCGATTCTTTTTTTACAGATGCCGTTTTCTGGTGGTGCGCAGTTGCAAAAATGTGAAAGCCGCGAAATAGAAAAACGACAACAACGCGCATGTTGCACGAGTGTGTGTGTGTGCGTGTGTGTGTGCCTGCGGCTGTAGCTGCACAATTTTAATGGCACCAGAGCTTGGCTTTACCGTTACGGCAAAGCGAAAAAGGCAACAAATCAACGCAGTCAGCGTCGCCATAAATTGTTGTTGTTTGCTATGTGCGCTTTAAATTTATTGCGAGGCCAAATGCAAAAAGGCGCAGGCGAAAATGCGGCCAACGCGACTGTGTGCACAACTACACGCATACATCTCTCACGCTCTCTGCCTCCCTCTCTCTCTCTCTCTCGCTCTCTTTCGCAGAGTTTCTATGATTTTGCGAGTGTATGCGTGCACGCGTACGCGCATGTGTGACTGCATTGTGAATGCTCCGCCGACATTAAAAATCTTTAAATTGCATGCTAATAACCATAGCCGGGCAGCTACTTAAGTGGGCAAATAGTATGTTGGACATGCTTGTTACTAAATGCACAGCGTGTAATTTACTTTTGCGAAATGCCATTATTACATAAACACAAAACCATGTACATATGTACGTATGACTGCAAACAAACACATAAATATGCATGTACGTACGTATATACATGCATTCACTTCCAATTGAAAAGTCGCGACTGGGCAGTCTGCATACATAGATACTAGATAGTTGCATACACACACACAATCACAAATTTAAACATATGTATGTATGTATATGCACACATCTATGTGAATATTGGGCGCATGGGCCGCCAGCTGAGTGGCCGCCGTTCTGGCAGCATCAATCATCATCAAACCGACGCCGACGTCGACGTCGCCGTCGTCGCCGTTTGCCTAAGGCCTGCCGGAAGTGACAGCCAATCTAATGTTAAGTGCCCACTCCACAAGCAACAAATTACAACTGGAAAGCATTTTCTCAAATGTCTGCAGGCAGCATTGGAAACAATGTAGCACAATGTACACGTGTATGTGTGGCTGTGTACGGTAAGCCTTCACTAAGGCGAATGTTGAAACTAAAGAGAGAATTGAAAACTTTAACATACTGATATTCATTTGCTATCTGCCTAAAGCCACGAATATTTAGGAGTATCTTTGAAGGAATTTGTGTTTTTTAACCTAAAATAAATGAGTATAATGCAAGCCAGACTATGTTATATAGTAAATTATCTAGTAAGCATTTATGGACTCACCCACCTCTCTATTGAGAATAGTTATACAGTTTCAATATTTCTTAACATTCTTAATGTTATATAGTTTTAACATTTCTTAACATTCTCAATGTCTCCATTTTGCCAGTTAGTTCCTTGCAGACATAACTCACACGCAGGTCCAGTTAAGTTGTTATTTGATAAGTTCGTTTTACTGACGCTCTACTGTATCAAACGGTTGCCTAGGACCGCTTGAGTTCCGCTGACTCATTATTTTTTCTTACTTTTCATTTTACGTTTCGAACTAATCACGCTTTCTAGAGCGTCCTCCCCGTAAGCAAATAAAAAGCTTTTAAGGTTTTTACTTTACATTTGTATTTTGTTTGTATTTTTTTTTTTTGTTTTTTTTTTTTCGTTTTTTTGAAGATTTTGTCTTCCTTTGCTAAAAAGTACAGTATAAAGTTGTTTTGTTTTTGTTTTGTTTTTTTCATAATTTCATTGTGTGTTGTGTTAGTTATACAATTTTTAGTTTCATTTAAGGAAATATGCACAGTTTGTGTTATTTTGTTTTTGTTTAAGTTTAACTACTTTAAGATTTTTCCTTTCCAACATATGTCAATGTACACAGTTATATTGAATAAAGTTTAAATTTGGTTTACCGTATTGCGAATTAATAATAATAATTATACACAAGTAATATTGAGCGAAATTTAATAATAAATACAAGAACTTAATTGGTGTACTTCAAGAACGCCTGTGTATTTTGTAAGTTCGTTTTAAATAATTTCAATTATATATTACATTTAGACAAAATAATTTAAATTGTTTTTATTGAGATCATGACAAATTGTAAATACTTTCGGCACACGCGTGCTGCAGAAGCCAGAAACACGCTGAGAACGCTTTGAAATTGGGGGGTGTATCTAATTAGTATCTAATTTTATTATTTTGAGTGTGCGTGTGTGGGCTTCTTATTCTGCTTCTTCTTCTTCTACTTCTTCGTTTTTTTCTTTTCTTTTTTTCAAAGCAAACGGCTTCGCAACAAAAGCTTAAACAACAATTTGAACTGTCAAGTCTTGGATTTGTTTAAACAAAAAAAATATACACATATAAAAAAACATAAATTATTTAAATAATAAAAATTTTTATAATAATATCAATTATTGCCCCATTTCGCTAGTATGGCTATCAGCTGCAGTCTGATTGTTCTTGCTGCTGATCTGATTACTTTTACGTTTTGGCACCTTCGCAGCTCCATTGTAGCCCTTGCGTATGCGGTAAATTCCTGAAAGCGAAACAAACAAACAAAAATTGCTATAATTAGTCACAGTTGAAAATAAAGCAAAAGTGCAAACGCCTGACCTTCAAATGCATATAAAGCTTAAGGAAAAAGGGAAAGCGACGACGACGGCGACGACAGAGCGCAAACTGCAAAAGTTGCCATACAAAACAAACAAACTGCAGCAGAGCACACACACACACACACGTATATATATGTACATGCACGCGCAGGCACACACACACATACGCTCACACACATAGAGCTCTCTTATCAGACGCATGCATGTGCATGTATTTACACATACATGCATATATTGAAATTGAAACTTATAAGTGCACAGTAAAAGCTCTCTGGAGAGGACAGCCAATATTGCAATTGGCTATTGAGGGAATATCAATTAAATAACAAATAAAAGTGCATTATGGCATTAATTGTTTAATTTAAATATATTTTTCGGCTAAACGAGATGTTTGCCCAAAGAGGCTGTCCGCTAACAGAGATTCCACTGTAAATTTATTGCATATATACATTTAATATAGACAAACTTACGCACACATGTATGCACTTGTATGCATATATTACCTGGCCCATAGCAAATCGATAGGTATTATATACATACATACATATAAAAGTGGACAATATCGTAGGGGCCTTATCAGCTCCCTATCAAAACTTGAGAGTTTTCTTGTATAATCAGCAAATGGGCACAGCTTGTGTTGTTGTTGTTGCTGGCGTTTGCTTTCTTTATACTAAACATTAATCAGTTAACTTAGTCACTGTGTTTCATCAGAGCACTACTGCGCATTGACATACATAAGAGCCGAGAGAGAGAGAGAGTAGGCAAGGTAATATAGTATAGAGCTGTGGGTCGTGAGGGTCTATTAGAAATAGCTTACAATATTAGCGTGATTTTAAAATGAATCATAAATGAAATAACGACGATAGCCGGGCGCCGGTGCCTATCGGTCTCACAAATAGTGCGAAATGATATGCGAAATCTGGTCAACGAACTACATTTGGAAAGGGGAAATCGCTAGGGATTTAAGACTTGGTAAGCATTTTCTATATATGGAAATAGGTTTTACCGTACTGAATGCATTTAAAAGTTGTGATTTTCTGTAAACATTTTTATTTTAATAATGTTATCGGAAGGCTCTATGTGGAAATTTGATTGAACCCTGTATAATATTATGTCGTAGGTTCATATTTTTATTACATAGATCACATATTTAAGAGAACTTAGCGATATAAACGTTTGTATGTCCGTAGGGATTAGTAAATTTCGTTAAGTTGTATTTCACAACATGACACACTTTGTCGGCACGCGCTCATCTCTAGCAGAAGAAGAAGACAATAGCGCTGGCGGCGTTGTAAGGCATTATACAGTTAGAGAAAATTATAAGCCGACGACAACAAAGAACGTTAAGCAATGCGGCCACAAGAAAGCGCTGGCATCCATTTCGCTCGCTGAGCGGGTGGCGTTGACGGTGACTGTAATAAGCGGTCGGGCGTACGAGATCGGTTGGCTGTCGTTCATTTCAAGCATTGTAATTTACCGTTATTGGCACGCAAAGCTTTTTCAATTCATTATGCGTTTACAGCGCTTTCTACTACAAGCCGAATGTACCGCAACAACAGAAAGAAAGAAAGAATCCGCGCCACATAGGACGGTGAGACGACAACAAAACGCGTTTTGTTTACGAAATATGTGTGTAGCGAGAATGAAAACAGGAACGACGACAACAGCAACAGCAACACATAACATAAATATTTATTAACACATACATGCATATAAATATTGTGTATGCATATACATGCATATGTACATACGTGTATGTATATGGTTGAGGCCGTGAGAGTTGCTGCTTACATACATAATTATAAGCTTTGGCTGGAGGCGTGGTGAAAACTCCAAAGCAAAACAAAAAGCGCAAGCAGGCGAAAAAGAAACAAAACAAATGCGTCTAACTGTGAAGTACAGTGGTGATCAAAACATGGCAAAAATAGTTAAAGAAAGTAGGCAAAAGCTTAGACGAAAAGATAAAAAAAGTTCTTCGTGTTATGTACATATGCATATACATACACAGATACAATCGCTTTTAAATGAGAATTGTCCAATTTGTTAAACTTTTTCTGTTTTGGATAAAATAAAAGATAAATAGAATTTACAAAGTTGTTTCAATTTTATTTTCATTTTATTCAAACGTTCTAGCACGCAATCTAAAAACGCAAAATTTATAAATATGTATATAAATCGCTTTCGTGACAGTTGTTAGCTAGACCTGCCGAAAGCCGCAGGCGCTGCTGTACTTACGCGTAACGAGCGCGTGACCTTCACAACGAGCTTTGAAAAACAAAGCAACAACAACATGCGTGCGTACTACGTAGTGCGTGGCCAATATATTTACACGCACACGCACGCATGCATAACCCAATACAGATACAAACACGCTTATCAGTGGGGAAACAAAATAAACTAAAAATAAAAATCACAAATTCGCGCCAAAACGCAGAGAAAACAACAACCTCATAGGCCCGCGTGTGCCAATGCAAACAAATAACAGCAGCAGCCGATCTGTCTTGGCTCTCCCACTCTCTCGCTCTCCTTTATTGAGAGCAGAGAGAGCACTCAGGCAATGCTTTAGCCTGCCCGATTGTCTGGCCCCGTCACATGTGTATGTGTGTGTGTGTGCATTTGTGTTTGCGAGTGGGCTGACAAGGCGTGTGTATAAGAGTCGGCGACGTTGTTTTCGTTTGTCGTTGTGGGTGCGGCTGTCAGGCAGCACCAACAACAACAACTTTTTAATGTACAGTCGCTCGCAGACGTGTGCCAAGTTTTAATATTCTCTTGATTTCTTATTTTTCGTTTTCATGCATAGTGTATGTGTGTGTGTGTGTGTGCCTGTGTGTGTGTAGCCGACAATAACAGTAACACAGCGCACACTGACAGTGATTTCCATTTTAATTGAGGCCTCTCGATTAATTGTCAGCCAACTGCAGTTGCAGCTGCACCCGCTGACGCAATCAGTTGTAGATTTCTTTTATTTCGCCGCTATTTTTGAGCAGAAACTAAAATTGTGCGCATATGCATATGTGGAATACATATCTATTTTTCTTTTTGGCGCGAAAAATATTTTGTCAATTGAATAGCGCTACCAGCGTCGACGACGTCAACGTTGTTATTCAACAGTTTTCATTCAATTTTGCTTCTTATCTCTATTCTCGCTTATATTTGTATTTCGGTTTATCGCTCGATTTATCTTTGCAATTTGCTTTTACTTTGTTGTGAATAGTAAAAATTAGTGTGCGGTGAAATCAAATTCAATCAATTCAACTTTGAGCTTCAAACAAGAATAAGGGAGAGAGAGAGAGAGAGAACGAATACTAAAATACATGTGCGTGCATGCGTGTGTGTGTATGAATGCCCAAAAATGGTTAAGAAGAGCAAGCTCAAAAAGAGACGGCACAAAAGCGAACGACTATCAAAACAAAACTACAAAAACACGAGACTCAAGCACAAATACGATTTTGTTTTAGGCGCGAAAAGCCTGGCAAAAAGGGACACTGCGTTTGCTCAGAAGCGCGTAATGCGTAAGCTTAACAACAACAAAGCTGCACAGTGGTGCAAATATTGAGTAACAAGATGCAAATATGTACAAAGGTTATTGAATTATTGGGTATCTGGCAATCAGCTGGGCAATTTAAAGGGCACTGCACCTGACAAAAAAAAAATAGGGCGAATGAAGAACAAAGCAACAAACGAAATATGACATCGGCAGGGTAACTGTGCCAATGAAAGAGAGAGAGAGAGAGAGAGAGAGAGGGAAAATGATGGAGAGAGGGTAGTAACAGAAATCAAATGGCAATTCCCAATTGGCGTAACTTACTTTTGAGGCCGTTTTTAGGCGCGACTGCATAATTGGGCTCCTTTTGCACTTTCGAAATCGATTTTTTCACATCGATGCCATTCACAATATAAACTTGCGTTGTGCCCTTCTCGAGTTGTTCGATAGTTATGTTATAGCGTTCATTTAAATAATTTTCGGTGCGCTTGTTTTCCGCCTCCATCATTGCGTCGATGTCATTGCCAGGACGGCAATCGAACAGCTTCCGCTTGACGGACTGAACCTCGGGCGAGGACTTGGAGGGGCGCAGCGCAAGTGTCGTCAATGGCTGCGCCAGGGGTTTCACCTCTATAAACGACGGCATTTTGCTCTGATTTTTTGTTCACTTTTTCGCTTGATTTTTTTTTAATTTTTATTTGCAGCTGTATTTTTCTTTTCTGTACTTCACTTCAGCAATTTCTTCTTTGCCAAATACAAACAAAAACAAAACACAGAAAATCAGGTGGCAAGAAAGTCACGTACCGTGCGGGGAGAGCATTGCAAGCTGCATGTGTTTAAATGCAAATTGAAAATGACTTTTTTATATATTGCTCTTGGCACAGTTCCTGTCTAGTTTTTTTTTTTGTCTTATAATTTTTCTGCTTTATTAATTGTACGTACGCAAACGCGAGTCAGAAGAAACACACGACATACGGAGCGGCTGCGTCTGCACGACTTGAATGTTGGAACACGAATAACAAGCGTACGTGAACGTGAGCTCTTGAGTTACAAGTTAACAGAAGCATAGCAGTGCAGAAAATGTTATCTACAGTGGCGGCTGTTAAATTGTTATCAACATTGAGAGATCTCTTTATTTCTCTCAATTTTGATAACTGTTAAAGAGAACAAATTTAGCTTTCTTAAAAGAGAAACAGCACAGGTGATTTTTATGAAGGTAGCGAAAAGCACAAAAGTTGGAAAACACAATATATTATAAATTTAATACAATGGCGTCAAATTAAATTTTGACCGCAGCATATAATTAAACAACTCTAAGCGTTCATTATCATTAATATTGTAGGAGCCTTATACTGTAAACGATACAGCTACCAAACAATACAATATAAAAGTATAATTGCTAAACCATTAATACTTTTATGACGTCACTCCATACTGTGCAATAGCAGTATAACACATTTGTCATACCTTGTTAGTGTATTGCAACATGCCTGTTAAAGAGCAAGCGCACTCTCTCAGACTGTTGAGTAACAGCGACTTGCAGAGTTGCCAGATCTGGCCGAAGCTAGACAAAATGTGTGATGTGTGTGTGTGTGTGCGACCGTAGATGTATGTACGTATGTATGTTTATGGATTTTGTAAATATTACATTACTATTGCGGCCGCTATTGCTGTTGTTGTTGTTGTTGTTTTTTTTGGATGATTTAATGATGTTTAAGTCCTAGTTCAAGGTCAGAACAAGTTTCATGCAGCATTAAACGACATAATTACTGCGACGTGTTTACAAAAAAGGTACAAACCAAAAAAAAAACACTTTCGCGCTCTAGGCGCTCGTTCAAGCGTTGCCCGCAAACGAAAGTGAAAACAGTTTGAAATCGACATAGACACACACACACACGCACACACACATATTTATGTGTGCGCGCATCTGTATCTGTGTATTTGTATATTGCTGAGTCAGCCCAAAACAGCTGGACCTGATCCCGGGCCAGGGATTAGTCATTTGACCGGACAAAGGCGCCGGCGCGCCTATTGGCAAGTATGGGATTTATTTTATATATATTTTTCGGGGTTTTTTTTTTTTTTTCTGGCACCAATTCTGAAAAGATACCTGCCCCCAAAGCAGACAGCGAATGCAACAATAAGGGTTGCGCACAGGTCCTATGCAAAAATCAACCCTCGCGCCAAAAAAAAAAACAGGTAAGAGAGTTTGCAGTCGGATGCAATCAACTGCGTAATAACTGATTTGTTAAATTACATATGTAGTACGTACAGATTTGGGTATACATATATATGAACAGAGAGACAGCCAGCTAATATACCCTTCTTACTCTGCTAATGAGTATCTAAAACAATAAAGAGAGAAAACCTCTTGCGACAATTGAATGCGCCTCAAATCGGATGCGTCATTTCCATGGAAAATGCGTTTCGATTTGATTTTGCATTTTGCTTCAGTTGCATATATATAGATAGATATATATTTATGTATCTTTATCTGTTCTACGTGCCGGGCCTGCCGTTGAGCTACTTTTGCGGCCAACTTCCGTTAAAAGCAGCTTGCGCCGCACAAAATCACATGCTGTTCGCTTAGTTGTTTTCCTCAGTCGATTTTTCATTGAAAATTTCGGAAAATGTGCACGCGGGGCACGTGTGGCATGCCGCAAAAGGTTAAAGGCAAAACGGCGCACTAAGTTCAAAGTCCGAGGGTTGCCTGCTTAGTTTTTATCACTTTTGTTTTCCTGTATCTGTATCTGCGCCTGCGCCTCGCATCTGTATCTGTGCCTGCGCCCCTTTGGCTGTGCGCTGACGTCACGTTTGCGTAATTAATAAATGAGATCATTAACGGAGCTGCCGCGCTTCTGCACGTGGCAACATATGCATACTTCACCCATTGCAGTTGTCTGTGTACAATGTATCTAGCAGATACATGTGCCGGCTGTAAAATGTATCTAGCAGATACATTAGGGTCGGCTATTTTTAGTGCGTGGGCCGGCGTCTGGGCCCGGGTTGCGAATTGTGCCGAAAGTGCGCCCAGTTGTTGTTGTTGTTGTTGTTGTTGTTCATCTTCCCTCGCCTTTGACAAGCCACAAAATATAAATAAATAATCAGACTCTCTTTTCTCCTTCTCCTTGTTGTTGTTGTTGTACTCGTGAGGCATCTGTAAATTTTGCGCCAATTTGTGCGGCTGCTGGCTGTTGGCGGAACACATGCTCGGGCGTTATACCTGCTGCCAATTTTGAGCAAATTTTTGCGCCAAAACCAAAACCTGAATCAGACACAGCCGGGCACAGCCGGGCACCAGGCACAAAACCGGGCCGCTCTGTGCCCGCTTCCGCACCTTCAACATTTTGTTGAGCCGCAGCGCAAGTTGAACAAGTGCTTTGGTTTTTTTTTTATTTTTATTTTTGTTCCTCTGTATTTCGTGTATACCCTGCACTTATTGAGAATGTCTTTAAAGTGTATACTTAGCCAATCTCAGAGAATAAGTGTGTTTGAGATTTGAGACGTAGATGAATTTAAATTCAAATAATCGATAGCTCACGCGCGTTTCTACGAGATCGATAAGTATCGATTTTTCAGTTCGAATATTTTGATTATATTCTCGAACTAAAGAAAGCTAGATATATTGATATATTAACAGGTAGATCGCCGTTTAGTAAAAGATTCCGACAATTTAATACCCTGAATTCGCTTAGATGAATTTATATTCAATTAATCGATAATTCACGCTTTTTCTACGAGATCGATAAGTATCGATATTTCGAATAATTTGATTAGATTCTGGAATTAATGAGAACTAGATATATTAATATATTAGCAGGTAGATCGTCGTATAGTAAAATATTCGGACTATTTCATACCTTGAACTTTGGCTCAAGAAAGAAGAAGAATTGGGTAAATTTGTGTTGTTGTTTCAATCTCAGAGACTATAATGAATCGTAGATGTTTCTGAATTCGCTTAGATGTATTTAATTTTGAATCTCCGATAGTTCACGCGCGTTTCTGCGAGATCGATAAGTATCGATATTTCGAATAATTTGATTATATTCTGGAACTAATGCGAGCTAGATATATTAAAATATTAGCAGGTAGATCGTCGATTCAGACTATTTCATACCCTGGACTTTGGTACTCAGTGTGGGGCTCAAGAAAGAAGAAGATTTGGTTAAATATTTGTTAAAGTTTCTACAGAAGAAAGAAAGAAGAGCTGGCTACAGGGTATCTCCCAGTCGGCTCTAGGCAGACTCTTGCTTGGTTTTGTTTTGCTTTGAGCTGCAGCCAGGCTCAAAGATAACGCAAATTCTTGTTTTTGTCGAAGGGAGATGGACGCGAGAAAGGAGCTCGCGGGGCAGCCAGAAAATAACATCTGCTCCCGAAAAGCATAGACCGGAATTGTCGCTGTTTCGACGGGCCTGAAATACCTTATACAAAGGCAACTAAAACGATTTTGCTTAACTTAAATCAAAGAGACTGATGAAATTAAATTAATCAAAAATAATGTCAAGTCATTTTAATGTTACAGTGCCATAGGTTAGTAGAGCGAATAATGCAGGCGTTCGAAGAAAAGAAGTACTGCTGTGCGGTCATGTTCGACGTGAAGCAAGCCTTTGATAGGGTATGGCACCCCGGTCTGCTGCATAAACTTAAGGCAATCTTACCAGCATCATACTTCAATTTTCTTAAATGCTACATCTCCTGCAGACAGTTTTACACTAAGTGCGGTGATGCTATTTCATCTATAAAGAACATCAGAGCCGGAGTCCCACAAGGCAGCGTTCTGGGACCTCTGTTATACACGGTGTACACAGCCGACATGCCTGTCACCCCGGATCAGAGCCTCTTGGTTGCCACGTACGCGGATGATACTGCCTTTCTTACAACTGCCAACTCACCGCAGTACGCGTCCTCCGTTATGCAGCGTCAATTGGACTCCCTAAACAGCTGGCTGAAAAGGTGGAACATCGCGGTAAACCAGGAAAAGTCCACCCATACCACCTTTACGCTGCGCAAAGGGAACTGCCCTCAAGTTTTCCTAGATGGATTACAGATTCCGGTAAGCACAACGCCCAATTATCTTGGCATCACACTCGACAGACGGCTGACATGGCGTGAACACATTGTGCGCAAAAGAAAGCAGGCTGAAAACAAGCTAAAAAAATATTACTGGCTGATTGGTAGACAGTCCAAATTGAAGCTTCGCGTCAAGCTAATAATCTATAAAACAATTATCAAGCCAACATGGACTTACGGCATCCATCTTTGGGGTACCGCCAGCAAGAGCAACCTGAACATTATTCAGCGGTTTCAAAATAAAGCTCTGCGAATTTTATCTAACGCGCATATTTACCATGAAAATACCACAATTCACAGCCAGCTTAATATACCTTGGGTTAAAGAGGTAATTGCCAAGTTGAGTGATCGCTACATCGCCAGACTAGGCAACCACCCAAATAATCTTGCCACCAACCTTTTAAACAACAACTCAACAACAAGACGGCTCAAAAGGAAACACCCACTTGACCTCCCCCAAAGAGTCTAACTCCACAAATTCCACTGCTTCCCCTACACTAAACACGCAAAACAGACACATAGATACACGCAATACATAACTGCCATAGGTCAAAGAAAACATTTAATTATTGCCCAAAAAGGGGGCAGATTTTAAATAAAATAAATAATAATTATGTTAAAAAAAAAAAAAAAAAAAAAATTTTAATGTTATCTACGAATTATGATGATGTCTTCTATTAACAATTTCAACAGATAAGCTTTGAATTTTCCACTTTAATCAATTACCTTTATTCGATTGCTGTTAACTCTGCCAAAATTTGACGAGTAGTCATTATCTTATCTTAACTAAATCTATGGAATCGATTGAAAATTTGGATCAAAGAACTTAGGTTCCATAGCAACCAACTGTACGCATTTGATGAGTAAATGCGTAACTTGCTAGATTACCTTTAATTTCGCCAGACATAGGCCGAGTTTATCAAGAGTTATTTTTACCGGAGACGCCATAT